AAAAAAAAAAAAAAAAAAAAAAAAAAAAAAAAAAAAAAAAAAAAAAGTTAACGATCGCGATTCACTGCCACGGTCGCGAGGTGCGTAAAAAAAGAGAGAGATCGCGTGCTCGAGGGAAGCACGCCCGTTCTGACGATTACCTATACATACATGCCTTTGCCCGTAGGTACATCGCTGTGAGCGTATCGTGTTTACAGTATTGAGTTTTCGCGCGAGTTGTTCTTGCAACCGGTTCGGTATGTCTTTATTATTACCTTGGCGCACCGGAGATACGCGAATATTAGGATGATGTATCGGTATCCCCAATGTTGCGCTCGTTTTTTTTTTCCACGCGTCTTCATTAATAACTATATAAGTATCATGCGGGTTGCCTTGAATATTGTGGTTCGGTAACTTTTGAAGTGAACGAGTTACCGATCTTGTGACTATACTGCGCGCAAATGAGCGATGATGGCCGGGACTGGTGTTTGTACTCGAGAATCACATTGAATACCAATGATGCGCGTGGGACAAAAGACCAGAAACAGTTCCTTATACTCGTTGCGAAAACCGTTCTTCATACGGCACAGCATCTGAATATTGCACGCTTGTACATGAGCGTGTAATTTCGCGAATTCCCGTTCGATATTATACCCTATATGCCGCAACTACGTAATACATACATACGGTATATCATCGCAAGGCTCTGCATTGTACGTCCACGAGCTTTAATTACCCCGGCTATTAATAAAGTATATGCACGTAAAGCGCCTCTCTTTGAACGACTGCGACGAGCCAACTGCGCGCTCTCGCTAAAATACGTTATTAGCGTTTCCGCGCGAGTCTGGAATGGATTCTATACGTATACCGATTTTTTTCATCGGTGAAAAATTCTTTGTCAATACACGAACGCCACAGCGAAAAAAAAAAAAAGATAATACGTATACGGTTGGGACGCCACAGTATATACCTACGTGAGAATTTTCAGTAAAACCCATCGTCCCTTGCATGACGCGCGTCTCATTATGTAAAGCACGAGCGCTCGGAGGATCGGTATATAAGTTTAGTAAGCGTCGAATGACACGCGCGTCCAGTGTACACGAGTATGAAGGATCGGCCCTCGTTTTCTCGGTAATCGGCACAACCACAATTTAATACGTTAACTGGAATGCGCGTCCTTTTCGTTTGGTTGAAAAAAAAAAAATAAATAAATAAATAAAAATCGGTACCCAAACAACGATAGTGAAAAAAACAGATGCTCTTACCAAGCTCAGTGAGAAAAACCAGCGGCTCACGAGGGCACTTCCTCTGACGATCATCTTCACCGATTACGCTTATGCAACGACGATCCTCGTACTAACCGATCTCTCCTCCGATTGTCCCGAAACTGCTCTGAAAAGACGTTACTCTTGGTCACCCAGCCGAGCCCATCTCGACCTGTATCGTCACGAAGAAAAAAAAAACTAAAAGAAAAAAACTGACCAAGTAGTCCAAAACTAACTTAAAAAATAAAACCAACAGCGAAAACCGTGAAGGCAAAAAGATAGATCGGTAAAGCGAGAACGGATGCGTGCGCTAGTGCCGTGCACGCGTGCGCGCCGACGACTGAAGAAAAGAAGTGAGTCTCGTCGTCGTCGTCGTGGTAGTATATAGGCACACGCGCGGGCTCGTAACTAAGGGCGGCGCAACGCCGTCGACGACGTTACTTATACGTTACACACGCAACACACACTGACGGCTCCTCGACTTGTATACATACTTTAGCGCGCCAATGAGGAGGAGGAGGGAGCCCTCGCTGAGGGGCCCCATCTCATAGATGCGCACAGATATATATATATACACTCGCTCGTTCGCGCGCTGATGTAATGCCACCTTCCATCCTCCCTCGCTTCTTTTTTCTACCTGGGGATAACCGAGATCGTCCTGAGGAGCATAAAAATAGGGTCCGTCGGGCAGAGCCACAGGTGTGCAGTGCTCTTTCGATTGGACAAAGTTACGTCTCGTCGCCTTGCGTACATGTGTACATGTGTATCGCGTATAGCGTATATCCATGTATATGTATGAGAGCCTGAATTAATTAGCCGACTCCGGGACGGTTATCTGTGTGGGGCCCACCGTAGACATAATGTATATATATATAAATATACCTACATGTAAGCCGATCGAGCGAGGACATCTTGTGGGAATGCCGATTTTTGTACTCGCGTATCTCTGCTATTAGTCCAAAGGGTCCCGGGATAATAGTAATGAACCAGTTCTCTACATATATAAGGCCCGATGGAACTCGATTATAGCTCTCTCCCCCTCTCGCTTAGGCATAGATAGCGAAATGGTAAAAAGAAGAGAAGAGGCTTCTCTCGGTGATTTTGAACTGCCAAGGTAGATTAGATTGCAGATGAAAGGGTGCACGTTTAAACAGGAACAATCGTGCAGATGCAACAACAAGGAACGAGATGTTTGACGCGGCTTTGATATGGATAATCCAGAGCGAGTGTGTGGAGGGTATACAGAAAAAGGGTGGAAAAATCGGGGGGGTACCGTTATAATACACAACATTTAAAAGGTGGAAAATAACACGAGGTATTGGTACATTTGATATGCACAAATGACAAATATCAACTTCCCGCCATTCAAATGGAAAAGTGATGAGCGATCGAGTATATATTTCATCCTTTTGCTTGTACAGGAGAGCTGCCCATACATATGGTCAACCCATCAAAGAGCCAATGTCTGTAACAACTGCGCTTATCAAATTCCCTCTCCTTTTTTTTTTTTTTTTTGTGCTCTGTATAGGTGATGATGCAGAGACCCTGAAATCCAAATAATAGTACAGCTCGGCGGGAATAGAGATCCTTTGTCCTCGAGACTCCTCTTCTTCTTCTTCTTCCTCTTCGTCTTCTTCTGTGTACTCAAGTTCATAGTAAGTGTACACAACGAAACTACTACCGACTGACTCCCACGTAGATCCAGGACCACATATGCATACACAAAGTGTACTGCTCCTCCTCAGTCGGGTGTAGGTATACACTTTTTCTTCGCTCCTCCGCGCACCTCCTCCTTTTCTCTCGCGGCCTCCCTTCTCAAGACACGCGTCCATCGCTTCTATTGTACGAACGCAAATGAACGTACCTCTACCTCGCATGGATTGTAAGATATAGTTCACAATAGCACAGAGATTCTCGAAAGGTTGACGCGTTGCACCCGGGGCGTTATAGTATACTTACAACCGATCAACGGCAAGAAATATATTGTTCGTCACGCTCGCGTGCGAGTATACATGTGTATATACATCTATTTTGTTGCAACGTATATAATATATATACATATGAAGGCACGAGCCTCGATGAGAGAGGCAAGTAATACGCACGCGAGTATAATAAGTATAGGAAACGCGTCGGCGAGAAGAGATGGGGCAATGGAAGGGAGGCGTGGAAAGACGAATTTTTTCCTCGCGAGGAAAGAAGCAAGTATATGTGCACGCGGATAAGGGAGACATGATAAAGATCATTGTTCAAACGCACCATAGGAGCCGGAAACTCCTTTGCAACCTATACAAGTTTATGTGTAGCGCTCTGTGTATGTATGTATACCCATACACTGGGAGTATGGATATCGAAATGGCAATGGAGTAATCATCTCTCGAACGGCACTTGGTAAACCTATACATCGAATCTCAATTTCACGAGCCGAGAGTTTTCGTTTGGTTGCACGTGTATAGCATTGGATTAAATTCAAATGCATCGGCCGTGGCTTTTTAATATTCGCGATTGCCCCCCCCCCAGACCTCTGTGTGCGCAGCTGATGCGGAGAGAGAAAATCAGCTCACCGACAGCGGAGCTTTAACTTGCGGTTTTGGTCATTCCGGCCGTGTCTTACAATATTATGTAGTAGGTATTGTATATATATGTATGTATGTATATACATGAATTGTGTATTTTATATTAGAATACGGTGCGCTGATGGCTTTGCGCGTGTGCGCGCGCTATCGATATTCATAATCATAACTGTACACTTAATTTCGTGCACGCGGCCATATATAATAAGTATATGCGCCTATAATATCCACTACTTACTTGTTACCCTATATATTACGTAGATACATACATACATGTATATACTCGCGATGCACGAGCCGGCCAATGAAAATAATGTTGTAGGTATATATATATATGTATGGGTACATTCAGTTCGCGTTGTACCTACCCCTTATATATATATATATATATATATAAGGATGTACAGAAAAAGCGAGCAACGCACTTCCTCTTTTTCTCTCTGTCTCTCTTTCGTCGGGCGCTCGAGTAAGTACGCATGTATACACATCAAGCAGGTACTCCCCGCGAGCGAGTCAAGTGCAAGGAACCTCATCCTATATACCTATATACATATTGTACGTACCTACATCTACTCCCGCGCTCTCGCGCACCCGTTAATAAGACCGCCCCCGCATCGGTGTAGAGTTTATATATGTATTGTAGCGCGCGACCGTGTAATAGGGAGGTATATACAGAAATAACCCACTCGGAGAGAAAGAGATAAGTAATGCGCGCAATGCAACTGCATACATATAATATGTGTATACGCGTGATGCTTAATTACACGCAACGACGGCAATTCAAAAGCTTTTCCGAGGCTCTCCCTTCGATGCGCGTGTAGGACGCGATTCTCTCACGCGGTGCTCCCGATAGCGAAAAGAAAAGGAATAAAGATACATCCCTTGGGTGTACATTATATAAGACTATACGTCATTACGGCATGACTGACGCCCATTAAATATACATAATATAGGTACATTCGTCTAGCTGTCGCGACCTTGCTGAGACCACCAATCCCAGAAGCACTTGTATAGGCGCGTGTGTGCACGGGATCGACAGCTAGTGCTTCAAGGTATATATTACTTGTACCTTCAAGTACTCCCGGAGACGACTGTTTAATGGCTCGTCCTCTTTCTCTCTCTCTCTCTCTCTCTATAGGCTATTGTTTGCTCTCTGCATAGATACACCTATATAGGTATGGGACGCGCACTTGCGAGCCTTCAAAGTAAATACAATGGATACAGCTCTTGGTTTTGCATTGTTTGTTTTACATTTTTGCCATATATGCTTTCCAATGGCTATTGATAATCCTTTTTTTTTTTTTACCCATCACTTGGCTATTTGCTTTTTTCATTCTCTTCTTCCTCTTTTCCACGGAAATTTCGATTGGCTATTCTAATGGCACGATTGTTTGCTATTTACGCGCAAGACTCAATCGCTCTGGAAAATCTGTACAGCGTAATATAAATTATCATTATTATTATTGTAGTACATCGTATTAGGCATTGTATACATTTAAACAATTATGGTTGATATTCGTCGCGTACAATCCGTAGATGAAGATACAGTATGTAGGTATACACATCGGTGCGATTTTCTCACGCAAACACGCTGATAAGACCATACACATGGGAGATGTATGAAAAGGAAAAAAAAAAAAAAAAAAGTAATCTGGCGCTCCAAAAGAGAGGGTTACAATCTTATCGCGAGTGAGCATCGAATCATCGTTAATTACGTGTACCTCCTACATGTACGCGCTCGATGTAGGCGCACAAGTACCTAAATATGGTTACGAATGTATTTATAGCCATTGGTTGTTGTTTGGATAAAAATACGAGCGATTGTTCAAAAACCGGCGTGTAACCCTCCGCGGTTGCGCTAATTTTTCATATAATGTACCTGCGGTCGCGGAGAAGAGAGAGATATGTATCGAGTGGGTCTTTGGAGGAAGCGCGCGAAAGACAATTAAACGGGACGGGAGAAACGGTACCTACACCGTATTTTGGCCTCTTTGTATATACATACACTTTGCACCTACGCAATACGATCCACGTTAAGTTTGTTTCTCTATCAAGAGTCAGCCTCATGTGAAAAGCATCGCAATTAGCTCGACGACGACGTCACGTAATGTCCGCAATTTTCGAGCGATCAACCGTTGCCAAACCGAAGCCCGTGGCCGGTGTATTAATGTATATAACGTGGGGTACGTGCTGTACACGCGCGCGCGACCTGCATCTGGAATTCAATTAAACTCCCGAGCGCTTTGGATCTATACGCTAATACGAATTTCTGTCGCACGTTCTCGGATATACAAACGTTTACTCGAGTCTACCACATATAACGAGCCCCCCCATCACTATTATCTTTTATTGTCTAATGTACGAGTAATGTATATATATATATGTTAGCCACACCTGCTTGTAACGAAGATCAATCTTGAGGTGCGAGAGATCATTAAAAAATAGTGCGTCATCGCGGTTTTCTTTTCGGGGTTACTACTTACCGGTGTAAGAAAAGTAGCGTGAGACTTTCCTCTCGCGTATAAATGTCTAGATGCTATTGCAAATATTGTGTCTAATACGCAACGTAGACAAAGAGAATCGAAGAGGCGTATATTAAATAGACACTATGTGTGAAAATGGCACGTTCGTCCGGTAAAAGCGCCTATCTGCAGCGCGGGAACGGGGAACATCATTGCATCAGGTGAAATATCCACGCGAGCTTGTCCATCATCGCTTGTCTATACTCATGTTAATCGAGTAAGCCAC